AAGTTTTTTTTGTACTTCTAATGTAATTAATTTTTAATTAAGTTCTTAATTCATATTTCGTACTCGAGAAAGATACAGATTTTTGATGCCTTGAAGTCTTGTGATTCCTAAGGTTTTTTCCGAAAAGTTCTGTTTGTAAACGCCGATTTCTTCTTTCCCATTTAATCAAGTACGCTATTGAATGAAGGGTCTATTTCATTTCTGTAGGTCTGTTTTTTTACCAGAAGCACTCAATCGGTTACTTCATATTTTTTTACCTTTATTAAATTGCTAATTGCTGCCCCTGTAACACCGGTTGCCCCCAAATGGGCCCAATTTCTCATTTATTCTATAATTGAGTATCAAACATAGTGAGCTGAAGTCTGTTACTAGAACTACAAAACGCAGTAAATTGGTAATAGAATGTTTCTTCCTGAACTTCTGCTGCCTGGGAAAAACACCTACTTCAAATTATCCAAACGATGAAGAAATAATGTTTTTCACTAAACTTGGATTTCGGCAGCTAATTGGACACACTGATTTCCTGGTATTTCCAGCCATGCAAGCAAGTTTATTTTAAAATAATGTGTCAACATTGCAAGCCGCGAGCTGCGGAGTTGGCAATCGTTTATGTGATCAGCAATTATTGTGGTCCGTATAATTCAGGGTATCGGAATTGAGTAAACTATTTATGATGCACTTATAATCTGAACTGGTCTTTTAGTGGGTCATCCTGACCCAGTTTGGTAGTGGGTCATCCTGACCCAGTTTGGTAGTGGGTCATCCTGACCCAGTTGGTGGGTCATCCTGATCCAGTTTTCCTTTTAGTGGGTCATCCTGACCCAATTAGTGGGTCATCCTGACCCAGTTTTCCTTTTAGTGGGTCATCTTGACCCAGTTTGGTAGTGGGTCATCCTAACCCAGTTTTCCTTTTAGTGGGTCATCCTGACCCAGTTTGGTCTGGCAAAATGGCGTATCAGTACTACGTCCGTTCTCTGCTCATGCTGTGGGTGAGAACTAGGGGCACTATTTGCACAGGATGACCCATTCAGTGTGATGAGCAAATGATAAACTCCAGAATTTAAATGTTAACTTCATTTGTTATCAATGGAAAAACGTAAAGCTAAAGTTAATTTAATTCTTAGTCTATGCAAATTTACCGTGCTATCAATTTTTTTAAGCAGGACGAAATCGTCCAACTGATGACCGTCTTGTCCTCTTTCTTTCGTTAATTCGCCTTCTGAGAATTGTTGGAAAATTCTATTGTTTCAATCACCTGATTTCAGTATTTTTTGAGAATCATCGGGCAATATATAAAGCTGTTTCTCTATTTATAGGAAAAATGACTTGGATTTCAGTGTATCTAGTCGTGTCGCTACGCCATGTTTCTCGGTGACAAATATGAACCCATATATCCTATGCAATGCATGTAAACTCGAAAAATAAGTTATCTGTACCGTTTATAGAAGTCTTCCTAACAAGGAATTGCATTTTTGTATTCTTTCCATTACACTATTTTTTCGAGCCCCCCCAAAAATACATAATAACTATTTGCGCATGGTTACCTCATGCTGCTCCTCTATAACCACTGCAGTCCTGCCGTGTACACATCACAAGCCCGAGTCCTTTTCTTTAGCCGTATTAATTACACCGCAGAGCCACCGTATTGTCCTTCGCTGCCACGTTGCTGTTCCAATCTGCGAGAGCTTGTGATTGAAACCACCGCATGTTTAAGCTCCTAAATCTGCCTTCTACGAGATAGATTTACAGTCTCGTATTTACATTCTCCAGTCTGACTATATGATTGGGCAGTCGAATGCATCCTTAGAAGTTCAAATTAATTGCATATGACATGTTCATGCAATCCCTTGTTAATTTAAGTTACGCAGTGGTCTCACTTTCTACGGTGATTTTGAGGTCTGCAGTGGTCGTAGGTGCTAGTTAAATTATTTTTCTAATTTTCGCTTTACGTCGTTGATCAACGTGAAACATGTGAATGTTACGGTAATGGTTATGCTAACCCAAGTTCTGTTCAGAGTATGACCTGATAATATCTAAACGTCAACGCTGTGATTTTGAATAAAGTGCATGTCGTTAAAAATCGGGATACTGACTGAGGGTCGTCGATATGTTTAATTCCAAGTAACACACGAAGAATAAATGAAGGGGCATCTAGCATAGGAGCGTCAACCTTCACAGAGAAAATACCGAGTGCAAACATTCCACTTTCCGCCCGATCAAGCGGCCGATGGAGCCAGCGATCGTGTAGCCTTCGGCGTGCGCTTAAATCTTTTTTCGCCGGATTCAGCGTTTTCTTTCAGGGTCATAAAATACGAATCAGTCCACGCGGTGTTACTTAGAGAACTCCGTCTCCTGTAGAGATTCTTAGCTTAATGCTGATTGGGCAGGCAACATCGCTAGATCTTCCTTGAAAAATTAATGAGATTCATGATAAATGAAGTTTTTTTAATGATTTAAAAAACGTTATCTATATTTTCATTGTTTCGATCAGCACGGAGAACAGTTGCTACACAGGTTTTTTGGATAGGAAAAATTAATCTTCCTCTCTTGTTTTTTATTGCATTAAATGTCAAATATGGAAAAATGTACTTAAGAAAATCAAATGTAGTTTTATAAAATATGAGAAGCGCGCATTTGTTACTCCGGTTGGTTTTGCCACTGAGTTTACAGTGTATATTGAGCGGACGAAGTGTTCAGGGAAAGCCGACCAGTTTGAGGTGAGCTCGATGAAGCACACTCTTATATGTACGGCCTACAGCTAGGCAGACTCGAGGCCTCAATCTTGCTCATTTTTTATTCCAACAATAAAGAAACGCTGCTAAATTTCAGCCCCTGTACAAGGGAGAGCTGAAAGTTTCACGCCTGCCCAGAGAACTCTTGCGAGCTTCGACCATTAAATTTCAGAAGCCAGTGACGCATTTTTATCGGATTAAGTAATATGAAGCTAATTTCGAAGCTAAAATTTGTTGTCCATCGTCGGAATTTTCGTTTCATTTTCGCGTAATAGTTCACAAAGAGAATTGCTGACGTTGTGCAGATCGCCACCTCTGTTGGATGCAGAAGCTCGTTGGAATACATGCAGTTGCAACATTGAGCTAACCGCACTATTTCATTAACGAAATGACCTGACTTGAAAATGACCTGAAATGACTCAATCTTCTTTAGACGACTTGGAATCGATCTAATCCAGAGATTACGTGATTTTCTTGCATTTCTCGTTTGTTACTCGGTATTGATGGACTGAATCTAATACGAAATTTCATCAGATCTTTTAATTCACTCAATTAGAAACAGGCCGCGAGGATAGGCGACTCCGTACCTCGACGCTGTAGCTTCGGACATGGTTTGTCCATGAAAGTTCTTCCTGCTACGTTCCAACTTATTTATTGTTTTCAAAAAGTTAGAAGCAAAAATCCTAAACTAAAACCAAAATGACCTCTGACAAAGTATGAATGTTTAGGTGACGGACTGTAATTGTGAAATAATATGAAAGCGATTATTTTAATCCTTTTCCTTAAATTTTACAACGTTCATCGCTTGTTCAACCTAAAGCTTGGTGTTGTGAAACGCGTCCGCGAGACTGTAACGCCAGCTTCTGATGAAACCGTCATTGATGTACAGTAATAGAAATGTAAATGTCCACAAATTTTTCTGTCGTGCAATAACCGTCATGTGCTATTGGGAATAGCAAATTGAGAAAATGACCTCCTCCTCTCAAATAGCCTGAATAATCGAATGTACGACAATGTTCTTAAAAACCTAACTATTATTTTACGTGTAGTTCGATGCAAGATATACATGCATTTGTAGTATTTTGTGTGCGGCTAAAACGCGTTGGTTATAGATTTGGGTCCGCTATCAAACGCCTGCCGAGATAAGTCCAGGGCAAAAAGTACCGTCACGCGCGGCCGTGGCTCACTGCAATGACTGCCATAACAATACTACGCGCTGTAAAATAAGTAATGCAGCGCACGTAAGCTTCTACGACACTGTACTAATTTAGGCAGTAAATAAAAAATTAATCTTTGCTGCGAGTGACCAAGAGAATCTGAAGTCAGTAGTTATCTCAACCACGACAGCTGGCGTCACGTACATGAAAGGAAATTAAAGCTGGTACGTGACACCTTCTGCTGGCTGACGCAAGACAGCTAATGCTGCTGGCTGACGCAAGACAGCTAATGCAGCTGGCTGTCACAAGACAGCTAATACAGCTGGCTGACGCAAGACGGCTAATGCAGCTGGCTGAGGCAAGACAGCTAATGCAGCTGCTGTCTCTTATACACATCTAGATGTGTATAAGAGACAGCGTTCATCTAGCGCACGCGTCGAGACAAGCGTTCATCTAGCGCACGCGTCGAGACAAGCGTTCATCTAGCGCACGCGTCGAGACGAGCGTTCATCTAGCGCACGCGTCGAGACAAGCGTCCATCTAGCGCACGCGTCGAGACGAGCGTCCATCTAGCGCATGCGTCGAGACGAGCGTCCATCTAGCGCACGCGTCGAGACGAGCGATGCTAGTTGTACTTATCTGTATGATATATTTGTATGCTATATTATAGCCTATGCGGAAAATTATTTTTATGCTATAATTGTGACTCAGCAGCTGAACTGAGTTACGTATAACCAGTCTGACATTATGTCTACTTTGATAAAGGATCGCCCCGAAGTTTGCTCTAGGTTACGAGTGCGCGACCCCACTAATATGCAGGCTATCGCTTAGGGCGGTGTTTCGGTGTCGCCTCCAAACTTTCAAGTGTGATAATATCAAACTTGCTTCCAAATAAAACCATTTTAAACTCTATAGCCATTTTTCACCATGTGTCAATCGCTAAGACGACAAATCAGTGCCATGTAGCTTGTATCTGCAATGTCCATGAAGGAATCAGACGATATCAATAGCATATCCTTATCAATTCTCCATCTGCCCTCCGCATAGGTAATACGATCGCTTGTTTTGCTTCTAAAATAATAAGTCTGAGTTTCCTTTTTGTACATTGCAGATATAAAGCAGAGCGCCTATGCGAGGATTGATTGGCCTACGGAAGGAGACGAAGTTGCTGCGTCCGTCTCGTCGTCCGCGGCCGCCGTGTCTCGCGCCTCTCCAGCGAGCCGCTCTGCCGCCTCAGCACAGCTCCTGTGTCCTAAGGAGGACAGTTTACTGCCACCTCTCACTCCTCTTGCTCACAAAGATCCAGCCGTTAGTTCTGCTAAAGGTGCTGCTGTACGAAACACTTCTTTGTTATCGCAAGTAAAACTCGACGAATCTGCAGACTCTTTGTCGATATCGCCCGTTTCCTCGCCTGTAATGACCTCCGTCGTGTCAACGCTAACGGACTCACAGCCTGCCCAGGCCTCCACCTACACATTCAGCTCCATCCTGAGCAACCCTTCCTCCCTGTCATCGCTCTCTAAGAGCGGCAACGCTAGCATATCCTTAGTATCGTTGAGCCCTAATATTCAGAGCAGCCAACCTTCACTTTTTAACCCTCCTTGTGCCATCTCCTCGAAGAATCCGGCGGACGGTTCTCTTTATAATCCTCTTCCTAATCCACGAGCGAGCACCTCATTTTCAAACTCGTCGTCTACGTTGTTTGCGAGTTCAGCTTTGTCGTTCTCCACGTCATCTCCATTGTACTTGAGTTCAAATTCTCCTTTCCCTCCGTACTCCTCGTCGCTCTCTTGCTCCTCGTCTCGTCTTGGTGTGACCGTCGGGAGCAGCAGCTCAAGCGGCGCTTTGTTCGCGCCGTGCCGCGTTCTTCATAACAGGGAGGAAGCCAGTGACCGGAGTGAGTCCCAACAAAGCGAAGCTGATAATTTCTGTGCTGTCACTGAGGACATGAGCAACAGTAACAGTAATGACGTTGATATTCTCTCTGGCTGCGCAGAGTCGCTACCTGTTACGGATTCATCTCCGTCCAAACGACTCAGGTTTAGCATTGAAGAATTGGCAGATAGAAACACGTGTTCCCCTCTGCTTGGCATGGTTAGAGGAGGCTCGTGTAACGCCGAAGAGAAGCTGTCAACCGCGCCTGCAATTATTACTGTAAATCAAGCCGATGTTATCTCTGGGGCCAACTCTGTGTCGGTTACGAACACTGGTACTGGTTCAGCTCTATCAGGGGCCAATGATGTGCATTTATTCGGGCCAGATGGCCCGGTGTCCATCAGTTTTGTGCAGGAGTCGGTCGCTGACGCTCCTGTCACTCACAAGAAACTAGATTTTTGCACTCACGGAGTCGATTCTCTTACGACTAAAGAAAACCATTCCGCAAGTACAGGTGATGATTTATCTAAGCCTTTAGTGAATTTAACTTCTAAAGCGGCTAAGAAAGTCTTGGGTTCCGATGAGAAAGAAATTTCAGTTTCTGCAGCAAGTGTTGATATTGTGCCTCATGATCTCGAATTTGATGTCGTGGCGGACGGCAGTTGCAGCAGCAGCAGCGCAAGCGAAGACTCTGAGCTTACGTGCCAAGCTTCGGTTTCTGTGTCACGGTCCAAAAATAATCGTCGGCTCAGACGGCGAGCAAAAATGAAGCGAATTGAAGAACGTCGCAAATGGCTTGCCCGCGAGAAAAAGCTTCTTTTCTCGGGTTTGAAAAGTCATCGACCTCTGACTCGGTCTCTCGATAAGCAGAAGAAAAATTCGGCCTCTATTCAGAGAGATCACAGGGCAGAACTTTGCACTGAAGAAATGGTGACTAATGAAGATGCTTTGGACGACCTGCAGGTGGACTGCGATCCTCTGAACGTTGACACTGTAGACTGCGTGCAGGTGAGCGTTTCTGACGTGGACTGCGCGGACGCCGGCGACGCAGCGTCGTCCAAAAACATCGATGTCGGTACGAACTCTGAGCTCAGCGACCTCACGACCTTCGGCAAGACCGCTATGGATAAAGAAAATCGCTCAGTTGGTCCTGAAGCAAACTTAAAGACTTGTTCTGTTGTGCGATCCCAGGCCGACGAATTTTGCAGCAGCAAGGATTCTTCATTTAAAATTGGTCGTGCGAAAACTCCAAGTATTAGCCCGATGGTCCTCTACTCCATGCCTCCGTACAAAGAGAAGGAAAAGCAGACGCGCACAACCCTGATGCTGCATGAAAAAGTGAAGGTCATCGAGGCATTTCTTGACGGCAAATCTCAGCGTCAAATAGCGCACCTGCACAACATAGGCAAGACACAAGTGAGCGGCATCATCAAGAAACGCGAGGACATTTTATCCTTGTACCGCAGCAACCTTCTTCGGGGCGACAAACTCACGGCCAAACGCCAACGCAGGAGCGAGTACGCGCTGCTCAACGAACATCTTATCAAGTGGTACCGTCACATCGCAGCCGGCACCAAGATCACCACGGGCATGCTCAGGGCTAAGGCCCTCCAGATCGCTCCTCAGCTCGGCTACCACGACTTCAAAGCCTCTAATGGCTGGCTGGCAACCTTTAAAGGTAACAACAACCTCAAGTTCTCCAGGGCGATCAGTAATAACAATGCCGGGGAGTCTGTCAACAACAACAACAACAATGCTAATAATAACAATTATCATAACATCAGCAAGGCTGAGATGCCTGAGCGCTCGAATGCCCCTGCCATGGCGGATGAGGCCTCTTACTTCGAAGAGGCCGACGTCGAGACCAACACCACGGAGGAGGAAGATCCCAACCCCTTACTGGGCACCGAAGGAGGCCCGGGGCCTATCATGGACCCTGTGGGAGGGAGCAGCCTCATGGGGCGCGTGGTGGGGGGAGGAGCTACTGGTGAAGGTTTGCCCTCTGCAGGAGGTCCGTGTTCCGGAGGGTTCTTAACGAGTCCGGGGCTACTACAAGGCGCCGCGGCGGCCATCTTGAAGTGCGGTGTTAGTGTCGCCGGTCAGTCTGCTTCTAATTTACCTCCTCAGTTACCCATGGAGGCGTTCCACCTCAGCCGCTCAGCTGGTGCTATGGACCATAACTCCGCTGCTGCTCACCACCACCCTCACCATCATCATCACCACCACCACCCTGCGCCCGCAGGACCTCCCTCCCTCTCCCTCGCCGCCGCCAGTAAAGGCGACGCGGCAGCTGCAGCAGCTGCGGCTGGGGTCCTTGGGTACAAATCCGAGGAACCTCTTGGCTATGGCAGCTACGACCATCACCATCATCACCACCACCAGCTGCAGGCCAGGATGGCACCTGATCAGCTGGCACCACAGCTGGCAGGGCGAGCTATGGCAGGCGATCAGCTGGTCGGCAGGATGGGTGATGGAGGAGGCAGCGCATCTGTTGCCTCAGCTGCAGCTGCAAGCTCTAGTGCTGCAGCTGCTGCTGTAGCTGCCGCTGCACGCACCTCTGAGTACAACTACGCTCCGTACACATTCCCGTCAGGCTACTACGGCTACCACTTCCTCGGCCAGTACTAAAATACCTGCGTCTCCCCTTGTACTTGAACCGACCACTCGATGCTGCTCAGGCTCATGCCGCCTCACAGGACGCGTGCGTTCACTTAAAATAATTAAAAAGAATAAAATTTATCAATTACAAAATAATTAAATATTGGGTGCCAAATTATTTATTTCGCATAGTATTTTGAAGCCAATCATGAGGCATTCGATCGCCGTATTTTCTTTCTTGTCAGCGAAATGAACGTCTCTGTGTAGACGTTACAAAATAATCTAAATGCAATAGAAATATAGATGTTAATACTAGTGATAATTATATGCAGCGAATAAATTAAAATAAGGATCAATGTGAATAATGGCAGCTTGGTTTGTCATTGAAAGGTAGCACAACACAGCGCTACGATTTGTACTGTCATGCTGGTGAAGAAGCTGGCTCGACATACCTGTATTCCTGCGTAGTTAATGTGAACTCTTCTATTCTACCTGTAAATAATTTAATGCTTTTATTTATTTATGTACCGTGTACATTCGGTGCTCGCTAGGAGTGAGCTCAACTTCGGTTTAGTTATATGCAAGAAAACTAAACACTGAGAACAAAATGACTTTGATGTGCCTGAATGACTAGCACATAATTATTGCTGACTCATGATGAGCCGTCTTGCGTGGCATCTTTCTGATACATAACTTACTGGGCCTATAATTTAAAAAAAAAGTTGAGAGATCGTAAGTTCATCAGCCAATCATTGACGGCCTTTCAAGCTAAATCTACCAATCATAGACAAGAAAATAGTGCGTAAGTACTTACGTTCACTTAGCGAGTTTTGAAAGTAAGGCTCCTGGGCCTATACTTTCAAAAAAAGATAAGAGATCCTAAGTTCATCAGCCAATCATTGATGGCCTTTCAAGCAAAATTCACCAATCATAGATAAGAAAATTGAGCGTAAGTACTTACGTTCACTTAGCGAGTTTTGAAATTATGGCCCCTGATCTTTAACACGTCCTAATCTCTGACATTCTTGCGTGGGAAGCACGAGTCTACAAGCGTCCTGATAGCACTTCGGTACTCCATTGTCCGTACATGTTTTTCTATTATATCAGTGAAAGTCGTCTTAAATTTCGCTCATGAAAGTTTCTGATCAAAGTCAATACGTTTTTGGAACGCTTGTTCGTCCGGTGAAAATAGGGTTGTGATCCCCAGATGTTCCTGCTCACGCATAATTGTGTGTTGGGATCCCCAGATATTCCTGCTCACGCATAATTGTGTGTTGGGATCCCCAGATGTTCCTGCTTACGCATAATTGCGTTCACGTCTCTTGCTAAATAATTCACAGTCTCCATCGTGCTCGGGTGGACTGGCTATCGAAGTCTTCATTGCAAGTCATGTTAGTCGTTGTCTTCCGTTCTCGTGTACATAATCACTCGTATTTTTCTGTCCGTTATACTATGAAATTGTTTACCCATTCCTGTTACATTAAAACAGTTCTCTGTCAGAGGCAACTTTGTGTTGATTGAAAATTTGGAAAATTAACCATTATAATTTATAGTAATACTTAATTTTTGGGTCAATATATAAAAAAAGTGCATTCAGTTCGACTAGTGATATTATTCGGTGCAATATTTTTGTGTTTGTGCCGTATGCTTGTTACCTAAATTCATATGATATATAATTTTAGATCAAATTGTACAACATTTTATGTTTGTGGCCGATGCCCGCAAGTAGCTCGCGTCTCCTGCATATCTATTAAATTTCTGCATTGCCACTTCGCGTGCCGCCTCTACGAGCAGCGCGGGACAGTCCCAGACTGCCATGTCCGGGTCCAGACTGCCATGTCCGGGTCCAGACTGCCATGTCCGGGTCCAGACTGCCATGTCCTGGTCCAGACTGCCATGTCCGGGTCCAGGCTGCCATGTCTGGGTCCAGACTGCCATGTCCGGGTCCAAACTGCCATGTCCGGGTCCAGACTGCCATGTCCGGGTCCAGACTGCCATGTCCGGGTCCAGACTGCCATGTCCGGGTCCAGACTGCCTTGTCCGGGTCCAGACTGCCAATGTCTGGGTCCAGACTGCCATGTCCGGGTCCAGACTGCCATGTCCGGGTCCAGACTGCCATGTCCGGGTCCAGACTGCCATGTCCGGGTCCAGACTGCCATGTCTGGGTCCTGACTGCCATGTCTGGGTCCAGACTGCCATGTCCGGTTCCAGACTGCCATGTCCGGGTCCAAAATGCCATGTCCGGTTCCAGACTGCAATGTCCGGGTCCAGACTGCCATGTCCGGGTCCAGACTGCCATGTCCGGCTCCAGACTGCCATGTCCGGGTCCAGACTGCCATGTCCGGGTCCAGACTGCCATGTCCATACCTCATCCACGATCGTAGATGACGGAACACGAAGTTCCTGTGAGATGCAGGCTCGGGTCGTGTATAGCTGTTCAAACTCTTCTGTTTTAAGGCAAGCGTTTGCGTTCACAATATATTGATACTTCAATGTAGAATTTAATTCCCTTCTGGGTCACTGGGCATCATCGGCGACGAATATCACAAATAATTTGTGCTATGAACCCATGGCAGTGAGATTCATCGATTACGTTTTTTCGCCAACTTTAAAGTCGCTGCAACATTGCTGGCGCCTCAAGTATCTCAAGTCGCCTCAGGTTTGCGTTGTACGCTAAAACATTCAGCGAAATGTCTTCAGAACCACATTAAACAAAGGCTTTTAAGTGTGCTTCCATCGTACGAATGTTGCTATTGATTTTCCTGGCATTGAAATAGATTATTTTCCTTTAAATATGTCTCAACACAATAAATGACTGTAGGCCACCCAAATAACGGCATAACTGCACATCAGTTCTTCACTTGTGCACCGCCAAGTCCTCTGAGCAACAGAGATGCTCGGTTAGCGGAGGCGCGAGCCGGTAACCCATCGGAGCGTCGCAATGCTGTGGCCGTCGGTCTCCAGCCGAAATGTCGACTCCATATTAAAGTTCATTGAAAAATAGTGCCTCTTTAAATTGAGTCAATCCAGTTCGGAGACTCTTGAGGAAACAGACCTCGGTTGACCCTTTCCTCGACATATAATTGTCAAACTAGTCTTGAAATGGTAATAAGTACTTACGGAGGTTATTACGGAGGAAACAAGAGCCGTACTCTCGTGAGCGTATAATCGGTGGGCATTGCACAAACATTCTAAAAATGTTGCTAGCGCACAGGCAGGCAAGGTCGATCATATTACTGGAACCGCAAGTGTCTCGCTAGCAACTGCATTGGTGGTAGGGCAGAGGCAATGAAAGACTAATCACTGATGGTTGAAGTTATCTATTGAAAATCAAATTACTAAAACTTAGTAAATGTATAAGTAATAAGTAATGTAAAAGTGGTGCAATTAATGGAACGGAGAAATGTCTAGAAACTGAGGAGCATGCGCAGGTATAATTACTTTAACAAAATAAAGGGAAATAGTAATAATTAAGTAAAATTATTTTAATAAGTAATAAATTAACGTTAACGCAACGGGAACAACAAGTTGATCAATTTAGCAAGTCAACCAGTTGAGTGTGAAACTTCTACCTAACGTTAACAATTCGCGAACCCAGGCGAAACAACCCTATCCTATATACAATAGGTCAAGCAACGCGCCTTAACTATAGCAGGCAATGATGCCGTTCATGCCACGAGATTCTGACAGAGAACAGGCTGGTGGGCGCATTTGTCGCCACAAGTCTTAACCCCAACTATAAAAAAAATGCCACGAGCCAAACATTTATAAAGTGATTAGGAAGCCTCTTCCCCTATCCTATAATGAGCCGGAATCACCATCTTTACTCCAAATTTACAAGAATATTTTTTACGAAATAAATGTAAATTAACTTGACTTCGGTGGATTTACTTTGCGACCAAACTACTAGAATAATCCGGTTGAAAAAACAATAATAAAAAGTTAATAATAAAATGTTGTTGTCAGCTTTGAACAAGCCATCTTTGTCCGTAGCCGATTGTTTACCACCCATCCGCGTTGTCGATTTTGACCTGAATATGCACGGCCATTTGTATGTCTCGAACTCTCAACTTGCTGCTTAAAATTTGGTGCTCTTAACCACTCTACCGCCACGAGATAAACTTAACGGATTCTTCTAGAGTTGTATGTTGGATCATAAATGCACGAACCAAGGCGTTTAAAATTTTTCTAACATATCATTACTGTTCTATTGAAACTTTCTTTGCGTAATTTCAGATGAACATTTTTTAATTTTAACGTAGTAAATGTTGAGTACCAGACGATTTTTTCACTTCAGCTCTCGCCACGGACTGGGACTGTCCGTCTCCCGAGCCGTGCCCTGCAGGACCGGCCATCTCTCACTCCAGTTCAGTAGCTCATCCCGAAGAACCACAAAGTTTTGATGGAATCAAAACGCCCTCTGAGCGTTACTATACAAGATCTCAGCAAAAATCCTCTGATACTGAATTCCCACAAACATTCAACGATGATTATAGACGGCGCACCGTGAGCGGGCCCGACAAGGCTTCGAGTTTTTCAACTTGGAGAGTAGTCGATAAAGGAGAGATCTGTACCTCGGGGGTGGAACACACTGCTGATCAATTAACTTCAACTGAATGCAGTACCAGTATGCACATTGGAGGTAAGACCGCCTCTGTTCAGGACACTGCAGTGATAGTTCACCAACAGTTGCAAACAAAAACAACTTTTACTCATGAGCCTGCTTGTAACTTGCCTTTATCAAGACCTAAGGGAAATTCATCATCAGACATGGATAACTCACAGGAAGATGCTTGTCAAGCTTCATCCCTTGAATTGCCATCCATCCCTCGAGTAGGTGAGGTCCAGGTCGAAACTGACTTGCGTAATCTGAGTTCAGAATATAAAACCTCTCCCGCTCGTCAACATCGCACTTCCACTTTGTCCGACCTCATCTACTTAAACAAACTAAAAGTTTCAGTGAAAAAATCCTATCCGGTGATACATCAATCAGGTTCAAAACTGAAACCAGAGTTATATTTGGCTCCTGCCGTGAACGAGATGTCTGAAATTGAGGGATCAGTACAAGATTCACCTTCCAAACCACTGGCGTCGTCTCCAGGAGGACGTTTTGAACTGGGATTTAACGATAAAAAATCAGCCAAAAATTGCGTGGCGACGAACGCTGATGTTGACGTCACGAGTAACGTTCGTCGCGAGTTCCTGGTGGTCAACACCGTGAACCTGGGCGCGTCGAGCAGCACCGGAGAAGCCGCAGGAGCGACTCCAAGGAATCGTAGGAGCCCTGCTGGCGTGGACCACTTCTACCTCAGGGGAGCCAACAAAAAGATCACCAGGCCTGATCTCCAGGTGAGCCGTAAATATATAATTTTATTGCTACGATCGATTTTATTTAACACGTTTAGAAAATGGCGTTCTCGGTAAATAAAGGTATTTTTTCTGTAACAAAATGATTTTTAGTACAAAATATCTAACTGATGCAAGTAAAAATGTATGACTGCCGATCTGTTCTTCCACAATTTAAAAATTAGATTTTTAGTACAAAAATCTAACTGATGCAAGTAAAAATGTAAGACTTTTCTTTCACAATTCAAAAATTAGAACTCTGAATGACGGTAGGGTCCTGTTCTAAAATTTTGGCTTTGCTACAATGGTTTATTTCTCGCACCCCGGCGTTCACCAAGAGGTCGCCCAAAGCGTTCGTGCGCTACAGCCGCGCCGTCCGGCCTGATGTTGCTGCTCAGTTCCCGGATCAACCGTCATCTGCTGTTTCTGCTCGCATTGTGCACACGTGGAGGAAGATGACGGCCGAAGAGGTGAATAAATTTGTTATTTGTATTATTGCTACGTCAGTTCTTCAAGTAGACCCATGTACACCTGAGAACTACTTTATACCAGTTAAGTTACTATGTTGGCTACTGAGCAACTTGTCGAACGTTCGATGCCGGCTGGATATAAAACAGTTTTCTAATTTCTGGAAGTATAGGAGCTTAACCTCGTCAATAAGCAAACTAATTCATGGTAGGGGCAAAGTTTTGCTGTTTGCACTTGGTCCCTCGCCACTGATCAGATGTAAGAGCCTCCCGTAGACTCGTGGTTGCTTCAAAGTATTATTGTTAATAATACTGAACAGTTTAATTAGCATTAACGTTATGTTAATTAGCATTAACGTTATGCGTTCACGCTGTTATGTTTTTGTGCGCAGCAAGCGACGTGGTCGCGACAGGCGCTGGACGTGGGCAAGGCGCGCGAGCGCCGACGCCCCGACCGCCAGTCCCAGCCGCTGGTCAAGCGCCGCCCACGGCAGCTCCAGCGCGGCGACAGCCCTAACAAAATTTAGAGTCGCCCCAGCTTCTGGTAATCCAAATCAGAAGCTGCCGCGTCTGTAAATTTTCACTGGGAAAAAGCGCTCGTCCGCGCTGCCCAGCGATTAATGTAGCTTCTAGATCTCGTATTAATTGTTAGTGTGATCATCCTAAGCTCTGTTATGATAAGTTGAAGGCGCATAATTTAATAAATGACCCCAGTTAAGAGATTTTGAATGCGAATGATAGCTGAAAGCCGTGTCAGAATGTCCTCAACAATGAATGACACTCCTTCCACTCTCTAGGGTATAACCAATACACGAGTAAACTATTGTATGGTACTGGTCTTGCTGCTATTTGCTCATAAACTAGAAAACAAAGTCACAATTACTCTTTAACAATTTCTGCTTTAAAAAAACGCTATCTGAATTCGGGTATTCGTTCATTCTGATAGTAAAGTTTGAATCATTATCATTTTTGGAACTATGTCTTACTTGTAAATTCGTACGTGGGATAATTAGTTTAATTCGTAGTATTTATCACATGCAATTTCTTTAAATAGGGCAGTTTTCCCGCAAGACTTCATTTCTATTTCGAGCATCTGCTACAATCGTACTTTTTGCTCCTGCAAAACTCCCCCAGCAATAATTCAGATAAACTTTTGTAAGTCTTCGCCGCCGGGACCGTTTGAGTGTGGGGAAGATAACGATGAATAACAGTTTTGTTTTTACATGATTAAATATTTTTAAGGAAATTGTTCTAAGTTAACTTTATAATACAAGTGTCAATCAAGAAAGTTTGCATCATTAAACATAAAGTTAGCGCGCTTTCGAAGAGAATATACTCGAACATAAATGCATTGCCTTGTTTGACATCATCTGATTGTATGAAGCAATATTGTTGAAGTAAATAATGTTTGTGTTCTGTTAATTTGAAATGAACTGAAATGTCAAGGAGAAAACATGAACAGAGAGGAAAATGGAGTGCAAGAAAATATTGATGTCTAAGAATGCCGTACAGGCTTTGGACGCATATATGAGTGACGCAGCGATGAGTCGTAGGTGTTGGATAAAAGAAATAATTAAAATGATAATGGCGGTATTAGCGTGGTAGATTAGATCATTTGGCCTGTCGCCGATTCTGAACATCGCAGAATTTTCATAGCTTGTCGAGGGTCTCGAACACTCGACTCACTGTTCCACACTGCCACCTCTCCGAATTCGACCACATTTTTTCGCAGTTATCGAACCCACAACTCGCTGTTCCAATTTTGGTGCTCGGCAGTTTAACCACGCGGTCATCCTGCGTCCGAATAAAGCTGGACGTTTACCATTACAAACATGAATCATCATCGGAAACTCATGACCCGGCAATATTCATTGTCTGAAATTATTACACATATTTTATCAACATAAGGACGATTGTTTACAAAAATTCTATAATATAATTTCAGGAAATAATACCACCTGAAGCACAACACCACCTGCAGCATACCACCTGCAGCACCACCTGCAGCATACCACCTGCAGCATACCACCTGTAGCATACCACCTACAGCATACCACCTGCAGCATACCACCTACAGCATACTACCTGCAGCATACCACCTGCAGCATACCACCTGCAGCATACCACCTAGCATACCACCGCCTCCCATCGACAAAAGTTCGCATTTTTCACCAGGAAATGTTTATTGACAGGTCGCCTCGCTCGGCTCAACACTGCGGATCAAATTCCCTGTGAACTCACATAGGGACTGGACTGCTGCGACGCATTAAAACAAATGCAGCTTTTATAGTGTATGGGCAAGCCATGGAATATATAGACATATGTTGGAATAGTTATTTTTCATTCTTTCATAATCACACGGCAGACGCTTCGGAACTAAAAAATGTTATAGCACAACGTTTTTTAATAATGTTTTATTTCATTCTTTCATAATCACACGGCAGAAGCTTCGGAACTAAAAAATTTTATAGCACATTTTTTAATAATGTTTATAATATGTCAGTAATATTCATAATTTTTGTAAGTGTAATTAAATAGGTTTTACTGCGCAATCAAGGGTCAGAGGCCATTGAAGGCGTCGTTTTAAAATTTATTTATCGAATGGGCCGTACCGAAAGCAAAATAATAATAATAAGTTCCTAATATTAAATCTCTTACCTTTATTATTGCTATCTAGTATTGTTTCGACCGTGTGTTTCCTACAGCAAACGAGAGCTGCAACTTAACCATAACTTACTTACTTGTGCCGATGACCGCTCGCCCGCACTCGTTCCTGGAAGTTGATGCGATTACAACTAATGCGTTTCCGATATAATAATAATAATAGCGGTTTCAGCGTTTATTAGGCCGTAGGCCTGTCGCCGATTCTTAACATCGCAGAACATTCACAGCATTTTGTGGTCTCGAACTCGCAACTCACTGCTACAATTCTGCTGCGCTTAACCGCCCGGCCTCCTCGCCGATTCTGACCAGAAACTGGCGCACAGAGCTGGGATCGAACCCGCACCTCTCTGCGCCAATCTTGGTACTCTGAACTGTAACCACTGGGCCACCCTGTCCAGTGGTTAAGGTAAGGTAAAAAAATATTATTACTAGGTTACCCCGGCGTAGCACGGGCTTGATAGTTCATGAAATTTTGAAATCCTGTTATCCTAAATTCTGCCAGTCTCGTTATCCCTATCCCGGTAGTTATAAAAAAAAATATCTTGCGTGTAATAATTAAATGAAGACCTCTTCATAGAAGATAGGACTCCCATTTTACTCTTGGTTCAAAGTATAAATAATATAATATTTGAATTTTAGTTCACATGTAAAAACATCAAAATCAAGTTTGAATTCTTGAAGCGATTCTTCCTTTCTTTTCTTCCAATCCTTTCCTATTTTTCAACTAATCCGTGAAATTTCAGGTCCAGGTTATATCCACGATACAAATATCGTACATACGTGCACGCAAAATCCTTTTATATTAGTTGAAGCTAGGCTTCACACACGTCCAAGCATGCATAAACTTGTAAATGTGAAACAAATTTTCAAACAAATTAAAACAAATTAAACTTTTAAACTTGACAAATGTGTATAAAATTTGATGCTATCGTGCAGCTTTGCTCAATCATGGTTTTCTTTCCGCGATTCTAGTGACGTTTTTTCTCGCATCGCAACAGATGAAAATTGTCATTCATTGGGATTTAAATGACTAGTTTCATTTGTTGTCCCAACCTGTGACACTGTTGCTGGTGCTGCTGGTGTCATACTGCGACACTGCTGCTGGTGTCATACTGCGACACTGCTGCTGGTGCTGCTGGTGTCATTCTGCGACACTGCTGCTGGTGCTGCTGGTGTCATACTGCGACACTGCTGCTGGTGCTGCTGGTGTCATTCTGCGACACTGCTGCTGGTGCTGGTATAGCTGCTGTTAAGCTTTCTTATGCGTTGTTGGACGAATCTTAGACTATCAAATAACGATTTGGCTCTAGTGGGTATTTTTTTTTCCATTACAAGTTAATTATATCCTTTGATTGTAACAGTGAGCCAGGACTTCAATAATGTTCACTGATTTCGAGAATCATAATCACTAATTTTTTGACCGTTTTTATTTGGTGCCAAGTAGCTCAATCCCATAAACTGGCTCAATGTCACGGAAGCATGTTTTTTTTTTCAATTAACTGGGGTGGTATGCTGGATTAACACTAAAAATTTAATAATGAAATTTAATCCAGAATCCAATTTCTTAACGGTAGAAATGCAAACGCGTAACTATAACAATAACAAATTTAAAGAAAATGACAAAAGACACGAAACAAAGTGAGAACTTGTGGGAATGAAGGTGCTACCGTATGTGTCTGACCTGTTGGAAAAAGCAAGCTGAATAAATATGGATTGTGAAGCATGGGCAAAGTAGGATCTATTTCATATAATGAAGTAAACCAAGCAATAAATGAGCTATAACAAAAAAGAGGGGGTCTATATTATCCTATCATACTTACACCAAGGTTTCACGTGAACCGAATTTATTACTGAAATGCTATGAGAAACTACTTTCACCACTACTTTCTGCCACTACTACTGTAGTGGAATAACACATCTCTTCGAGTAAGGCGCACGTATGCCCTTACACTCAACTTTGTCTGCAATAACAAGCACATGTGTTGCTTAAAGTTCCTGAACTGCATTGATTTGATGCAGTTTCTGCCGCTCCTGCTAATTAAACTTGGTCAGAGTCTCGGTGCGCGCTCGCCTTTCAAAACTCGCTAAGTGAACGTAAGTACTTACGCTCTATTTTCTTGTCTATGATTGGTGGATTTGGCTTGAAAGGCCGTCAATTATTGGCGGATGAACTTACGATCTCTTAACTTTTTTTGAAAGCATGGGCCCAGGTCGCATTCACACGGCCGTGCCGAGACATCTTCTTCAGTGACCTCGCAACGGCTTCATCGTCGCACCGCGGTTGCGTAACATAAATCCGTAACATTCTTTTCCACGTAGAAAATTATCGGCCTTACGTTGCTGAATTTTTACATTTTCTACATAACGATGACGTAGCGTGGCATTTCTCATCATGGAAAAATAGAGCATTAAGTTACATCCATCGTCAGTTTTGGTTCAACTCGGGGACCTTTGACTTACTTTTTTGATCTTGATTTAAATTTTCGTTCGTTGGTCGGCTTGCTCTGAACTCAAGTTCACTTTGTTCTAATGGAATGAAATGCGTATATTCGTTCTTATTATGTTTTTATCGGTTGAGGCTGTTCTCTAGGGATTAAACCGAACGGTAAAACGTACTTTAATTATATTATGGAGTACTCGGATTTGTAATTCCATAGTATGCCGCGAAATTTATTGCCCATGTCAGTCTACAAATGAACAATATTAAAAGCCTTATCTGTTAAAGTTATAGCTTAACGTTCTATTTTCACGATACTATGTGTCCCTCCGTAGGGACAATGGGAAATCTCTATCTCCTAATGGGAAATAATGTCTCACTATTTCGAAGCCTCCAAGTGAGACTGCAACCGGCTTAAGTTCCTTGAATTTAAGTAATAAGATGATGGAAACAGGGAGAACGGAAGATATTAGGGGTTCAACGGACAGAGAATTTATCAGAGCGAAAACATGAGAAATAGATAAGAAACGAGACAAATACCTACTGATCATTTAACAAGTACTTAATATACTTTGAGACCTTCACATCATTGCAACACGTCATCGATTTGAGTTACCAGTTTCATGAAGTTTTCCCTGTGCCTACAAAATCCAAAAGAGGACCAAATCCAAAATGCTCTTATCGAGAAATCATCGAAGAGATAAAATAAGGCTATTCGAGCAAAATCATTGAATCGGTAATGGTGCTCTTATCAAGAAATCATCGAACCGATAAAAAAGGCCATTCAAGCAAAATCATTGAATCGGTAATGGCGGGCTGAACACGAAATCTGCATTGAATATTGCGCATGGTTTTCACTTCAGATTAAAGCGAGATTACTCAGGAAAATATGTCGGTGCTAAGGAAGTTCGAGGTTAAGCGGGACACTTAAAACCTGTTGACGGAAGAGCTGAGCAGGCAGGCTTACCCTGCCTCCCGTGGACGCGTCGTAGGCTTTGCGAAGATTTGGCTCGACGCTTCATGTTCATGACCAAATTCTTGGGTTTAATACATGAAATAATAAAAATGCTTCGGAAATTAGTAATTTTTAGTTAGTTAGTTAGTTTTATTAATTAATAATAAAATGCTTCGCGAATTATTAATCGTGTACAATACAATTTAAATACAGTACAATACTATTCAATGAGATACTGGAATGGTTATACAGATAAAATTTTGGCGATGACCAATACACGTCGTGCTTGTAGATATTCTTGTACAGAAATAAATTGTTGTTTGTGTTAAACTGA